AACTTTTGACCAATTATCACCCCAGCCACCTTGGACTGTGCTTTGAGATACACATCATTTCCTTCCTTCCTAAAGGCAAATACAAGGTTAGCCTCCACTTTTTTTTTTTTTTTTTTCTTTTCAGATAAATCACTGAACTCACTGAGTGCTGCCCTACAATCTCAGCTGCTTGACAGAAGGAAAGGAGAAAGAAATGGAAAGGGGAAGAAAAAAGAGATGGCTGGAAATGGAGCTCATTGGTGGAGCATTTGCCTACCATGTATGAGGCCCTAGTTTCAATCCCCAGTGCTGGAAAAAAAAAAAATGAAAAGGGGGTCAGAAGGTAAAGAACTTCCCTGGGGACCCAGCCCTGTCCTCCTCTAAGACTTTGCAGAACATAGGGGAATGTTTTCAAGGATGTTCCTGGCAGGGTGCAGATGGGCTGAGGAAAGACACATGCTGAGTCACTGTGAATAGTAACAAGGAGCTCATCCCAATCTTGACGCCTGCCAGAGTCCACAGCCTCTCAGGCTTGGCCCCTCTTAGACCTCAGAGCTTCTCTAGGCTGTGTCCAGACTGTCTCTTCTTCCTGGAGGCCGCCTACTCCCAGCTACCTTATCTCATTTCCAAGCATAGCAAGGCCTCTGACAGCCTTTAGGACTGTAGTCCAACATTGAACATTGCAGAAGGTGCTTCTCATACCAAGTCAAAAGGCCCAGAAGTGAGGCTGGTTGCCTGCTCACAAGATCAGAGGGTTCAGAGCTGACCCTCAAGCAACACCACCCTCTGATGCCCCCATCTCTTGAGGCCCTTACCTTCCACAGAGATCACTGATGCCCTTCCCTGCCTTTGAGGGCTCTTCCCAGCATTATCTGAGGGTTCCAGCACCCAGACACCACCAGGTCACTGTTGATGGCTGTCAGCCTCTACCAGGGCTAGACTGACAGCAGTGGACACAGCCTGGGTGGGTGTTCCCAAGCACACATTGCTGGGGGGGGGTGTCTGAGTTAGACTGACCTGAGGCTGGAGTCCTCCAAGCAGGTGGGGTCTGTTATGTGGTCCAAGCTACATGAACACCCAGGGGGTTCATGTAAGGCAGATGGGCTACAACTCACTACATAGCCAAGGCTGACCTTAAACTTTCAATTCTGCTAGCTCCATTCCTGGGTAATTTATGGGTGTATGCCACTATGCCTGGTTTATTCAGTACTGGGGATTGAGGCCAGGGTCTACCTACATGTTATACAAGAACTCTACCAAGTGAACTAGAGCCCCCTTCCTTGATGTTCGAAAGTGAGTCATTGAATGGATGATAGAGTCACAGGCTCAGATGGCAGACATGGTGTGGGATCTGGTTCCCTGGGACAAAGGCTGGTACAGAGGGCAGGTGAATAAATCATGAGGGGCCCGCAGCAGGCCCTCAGGCCACAGCTGACCTCATTCTGGAAGTGAGGGGTAAGCAGCTGTGTGGTGAGTGGCTGGGTGTGGCAAGGGGGAAGGGGGTTTTGTGGTACCTCAACCCTTGCTTCCTGGGAGGACCTTGCAGGTCAGTGGAAAGGTCCACACAGGAGGCGGGGAGGCAGCGGTGTCCTGAGGCTCCAGGTGGGATGGGCTGAAGCAGGTAGCATGCTTTCCCAGCCTCTTGGAGCCATTCTGGGAACGGGAATGGTAGAAGAGTAGGAAAGTCAGACAGGGAGCAAGGTAAGACAGAGCCTCCAAGAGGTAACGAAAAGGGCTGGATAGACAGAGGCTGCCAGGGCCTGAGGGTCGTGGGGACACTGCTGACCAAGACAGAGATGGGAGGTGGCAACAGCCACAGCAGGTGGAGAGTGAAAAGGGTATGGAGAATGCTCAGACCACCAGCCAGGGATGTGCAGGCAGGACATGGGGGACAGAAAGAGGCCATCCATCTTGGGAGCCTGGCCACCTGGGTTAGCTAGGGGCCCGAGGGTGCAGTCTGCAAACGCTGGCAAGTGGTATAGGAGGAAGGCGAAGATTTCAAAGATGTCCTATGGGAGGGGCAATGGAAGAAGGTGGTGACTTTAGGGGCGTAGGGCTCTCCTAAGCCCCAGAGCCAGAAGGGAAACCATACCCACAGCTTCCCCTGAGCCACCTACCTACAGGTCAAGGAGCCCAGCAGGAACAGCAAAGGTACCACACCCATGGCCATGGCCCTGCCTGAGGGCCCTGCAGATGGCAGCCTCCCTGAAGGGGACTCCAGCCCATCCATAGACACTCCAGGAACCAGCCAGGACCTAGCCAGCCCTACTGCCCGCAGGAGGGCCCTCCTCCGTGAGCTGGAGGCCCAGGTGCAGGCTGCCTATGGGCAGGTAAGGGGCAGGGACCATCCTTTATTAAGGGACCCCCACATTCCAGCTGGATGTAAGACAGACTCAGGGCCAAGTCCACACATAGGTGACCAGAGACATCAGGAGAGGTTAGGCGACCCATTTCTGTTGGTACTGAGGGATCCTGTGCCCAGAGCTGACACTTTATTCAAGGTTTTGAGCACTGGTCCAAGTCTCGGTTGAATGAGCCCTGAATAGAGTCAGGGTCCTGGCATAGACTTCAGACTGGCCCAAGGTAAAAGCAGGTAGCCTCTCTCTCTCTGAAGACTTCATCCTCCAGTCCCCAGTTGCCACTCTGGGGTAGTTGGGATCCGGCTGGTCCAGGCATGGGGTGCCAGCTTCTTCCGCGGGGATTCAACTGTGCTTCTGAAGGCGCTGGCTGGAGCGATTAGTGCAAGGCTGAGAGAAGGGCTAGAGAGGGTGGGCATCCAGAAGACCCTCTGGAGACGTTCCCGGAGGCTGTGGCTTCCAGGGGGCCCTGACTCTGCGTACCCCCCCCCCATTGGCAGAGATTCTCAGAGATAATCCCGGATTGGATTAGGGCCCAAGCCCCGGACCCAGCGCCGTCCCCCCTGCCACCCCCCCATCTTGCCCACAAAACCTCAGGAAAATCCTCTCCAGTGCTCCCAGGCTGTCCCAGGAGACAGCAGGGGGCTGGCAGAATCCACAGCATCCTCCCAGGACTCAGGGCCTGGCATGGTTCAGAGACCCATGGGGAACTGTGCCAAGAGGCCCTGGCGCCGGGGGCCTAAGGTAGGAAGACAAAGGCCAAAAATCTGGGGGTCTGGCCTGGGTTAGAGATGGGCTGTGGGCGCCAGAGGAGATGGGGGGGGGTATCTGTATGCTTTCCTTGAAGGAGATGCTTTCCTGGACCGCCCCCTCCACCTGCCCCAAGCCTTGACTAGGTCTCCCCTGCTAAAGTGACAGACCAACTGTCCACTCACTCTCTCAGCCTTGGCCAGGGTGACCAGAACCAGGTTTCCTCAATGACCTGGCTGAGGTCCTCATCGCTTAGGGGTGAACCTTTCCTAGAGTGTTAATGGATCTTGTGTTCTCAAAGGTTCTGCCCTCTTTGTCAGGTGTCCCAGAGAAAGGGGCTGATGAGAGCTGGACAGGGGTTGGGGGAGAAGGGGCACTGCTTCAGCTCATGGCTGACTTTGCCACAGGAACACTGGCAGTGGCCTGGAGCCTCCCTAGGGGGCTCCAGCCCCAGCCCGGGCCCCAGAGCTGAGGAGCAGGAGGGCACACAGGGCTACTCAGTACTCAGCAGCCTGGTGGGGCCAGCCTGCATCTTCCTTCGACCCAGCATCGCCGCCACCCAGCTCGTATGTACAGTCATTCCTCTGTAGCCTGTTGCCTCCCTTAGCCTCATCGCTCCCCAAGTAAGAGGAGAAACTGGAGAGGATGTCAGAAGAGAGACGTGCAGCTCTGGGGTGGGCCACAGAGTGGTAACTCCAGAAAAGTTAAGAGTTCGGGGAGCCCTCGGAACCGTACCAGTCATGGGGGATGGGTAGGGGCCCAGAGAAACAGCCACCCAAGGGTTGAAGGTGCAGCCCGGTGGCAGAGCACTTGCTTATAGCAAGCCCAGGGTTACACCCTCAGTACTGCAAAATAGAAAAGGAAGTACTTCCAAGGGGAAGATGACTAGAAGTGACAAGGTCCTCAGGAGAGGGACGGGGGCAAGGCAGACTTGCAGTGACACCGAGGCCAGCTGTGTCGAGTATGAGGTTCTATCTGACCCTGGGATCTGTCTCTGTCTAAAGAAGCTGTGTGCCTCAGAGGACAGTGTGGGAGAGGAGTCCTGGGGGTCTCCTGGCAGGTTGTACGGAAAGGGAACCCCAAGACACCCAGGCAGGTATCTGGCAGAATAAGTCACAGGCCCTGGGTAAGCTGTGGCGTGGGCTGGGTGACAAACCCCAAGAAACAGAAGGAAGGTGCTGAGGCCTGGGTGGGCCAAAGAACCCCTAAGCCATCTGTGTCCTGCAGGACCGGGAGCTGAGACCAGAGGAGATTGAAGGTAAAGGGTTCAAGGAGGGGCTGGTTGAGGTGGGGGCATGGATGGATTAGAAGAGGAGGTTTGGGGTTGGGGCCTCTTCAGGGCCCAGGAGGGATAAGAAGGGTGAGACCGGGCAGAGGGGGGGTGGCAACCCTCCCTTCTTCTGCTGCCAACCCCTTGGTCTCAGTCAAGGGCTCCTTTCATATTTGTCCATCTGGCTGACACGTCCTGGCCGCCCATTGAGGGCCTGGTCCCTCACTGAGAGCAGGAAACACCGCTAACCAGGTAGATAAGGCCCCCGTCTTCTGGAGGTAGCAGCAGTTGCAGCTGTGTAAAGCACTCAAGGAAAACCAATAAATGGGCTGGAGAGGAAGAAATGAGCAGGGAAGTCTTCCTGGAGTAGGCAATGTTGAACTAGAGGGGGGAGAATGTAGCCTCCCTGGGGTCATAGCTTTTTCTGTCCCCCCCCATTCCTTCTCTTTCTAATCACCCAGAGCAGAAATGGACACTGTAGATGCTTCTTAAACATTTCCTGAGAACAAATTTTTAAGAGCATATGTGCAAAAGCTCTGAGACAACAAATAGGAACTGAGGCTTGAAACCAAGAAGGGATTGGAACAAAGGGAATAGATGGGCTGGTTCTATGCAGCCAGGGAGGGTTTGGGGAAAGAACTAACCTCACTCTGCCCGGCAGAGCTGCAGGTGGCCTTCCAGGAGTTTGACAGAGACCGTGATGGCTACATCGGGTACCGGGAGCTGGGTGCCTGCATGCGGACACTGGGCTACATGCCCACAGAGATGGAGCTCATTGAGATATCACAACAAATCAGTACGTACTTCAGACCCACCCCACCCTCATACTCCAAGCCCTGGCCCAGACCTGAGGTAGCTGTTCCAAGAGCCCAGGACAAAACTGTCATTAAAGGGAGAGCTGCCTCCTAAGAATCTACTAGGAGAGTGGGGAAGATGACGTGACCTCGTTCACCAATAAAGAGACTAAAGCTCAGACTGATGTGTCTAGAGTCACACATCACGGGCTTGGGCAAGGACAGTGAGTCTCAAGAGCCTGGCTGAGGACAACTCCCACCAATAGCTACAGATGATGCAGCCACTGGTACCCAGGAATGAGAGCCCATCTAATGCCATGAAGGAGGGAAGCAAGGGCCAGAGGGAAGGCAGTGGGCTGGGGAAGGCAGGTCAGGTGCCAGGCCGGGGTCTTTAATGGATGGATGTACCTTCAGGTGGTGGGAAGGTGGATTTTGAAGATTTTGTGGAGCTAATGGGCCCTAAGCTGCTGGCAGAGACTGCAGACATGATTGGCGTGAGGGAGCTCCGAGACGCCTTCCGGGAGGTGCACCTGGGACGGAAGGGGGGAGGGTGGGTGAGACTGTGGGGCTGAGTGGATGTAGGGCACCCTAACCCACCATCAATGCTGTCACAGTTTGATACCAACAGAGATGGTTGTATTAGCGTTGGGGAGCTCCGGGCAGCCCTCAAGGCTCTGCTGGGGGAACGTCTTAGCCAGAGGGAGGTAGATGAGATACTACAAGACATCGATCTCAATGGAGATGGCTTGGTTGACTTTGAAGGTAATGCCTCCCCTGCTTAGCTGCATGTGCCCTGGAAGATTCTAAACCAGCAGTTCTCAACCTGTAGGTCTCAACCCCTTTGGGGTTGCATATCAGATATTTACATTAGGATTCATAACAGTAGCAAAATTACAGTTACGAAGTAACAATGAAAATAATTCTATGTTTGGGGATTACCACTTCAGGAAGGGTCACAGCATCAGGAAGGTTGAAAACATGCTAAACAGACCCTGATTAAACATTATGGCTGTTGTACTCCCTACTAGTGAGAGAAGAAATCCATGTCAATTCCCAGAGAAGCTAAAGTGCTTACCTAGGAAAAGGAAGTAGGGAGAGCCACGATGGTAATCTGGGCAGCTGAGGCTGCCTCCTGCCTGATTCACAGATACCTTTGAGGGTCCCCTCAAGCACACTCTAGCCCACCCTTAGGCAGGCAGATCTACCATCCCTAATGGGGTCAGGAAGGCAGACCTAAAACCTTGGCTTTGTCCTGGCAGAATTTGTTCGGATGATGTCTCGATGAGCCTGTATAGAAGCTGGAGTGGACCAGCCTGGAGGACAACAGCCTCTCAACCGCAGAGGATCCCATGTGTTCCTTGAAACTCATTATGTACAGGACTGTGCACCTCCTCCCCATCCCTGCCTGGGCACAGTGCCCTCTCCTGTCATCACCCCTTACCTCTCCCTGGTTCTCTGACAATAAAGCATCTTCCAGCTTGTGGAGAAAGAGTTTTCCCCTACTGGCTCATTCTGGAGGTCTGGCATGTGACTCCCAAATTCAACCCCTGGAGCTGGGCTTTCCAGGGGTATGGAGATCCCTTCTTCCTCTCTGGATCCTGGGCCCAGTCCAAAGCAAGTGCCAAAAGATATCTCTGTGCTAGGCATGGTGACACACCTTTAATCCCAGCACTCAGCAGGCAGAGGCAGGCAGATGGATCTCTATGAATTTGAGGCCATCCTGGTCTACAAAGTGCATTCCAGGCCCATCAGGACTACCTAGGGAGACCTTGTCTCGAAAACAAAAACAAAACAGACATCTTTGAGCTGGTAAACACACACGTGTGCACACACATACGTAAATGCATACATCAGTGCTTCTGAATTCTGAGCTTGAAGTTCCTGGGACAGAGCCCTTCTCCCAATACCGTCATGTATGTATTCCTGCCACAGCCTGGGAGGGGCGCTGCTCAGAGTTCAGCCACAGAAGGGTCCCCCAGGAGGTACCTCTGCCTAATAGCTGGGACTTCTTTCCTCCAGGAGCCCCCAGCACTTCCTGAGCACAGTGGGAAGGGAATATGACTGGCCAGCCCTGCCCAGTTCAAGGCCCATCTAATAGACAGTCTGACCTTTTAGGTCAGCATAGAACACAGGGCCTGCCTAACAGGAATCAGGACCCTCCTGCCCTAACTAGCTGCCTGTTCTTTTCTTTACTACTATTCTTAACCTAAATCTTCACTCCACTAGAGACATCTCCACACAGAGCCTTCACAGCCCCAATTCCGGCCCTTGGATTCTGGGAAGCTGTGAGTCTCTAGCTATCCCCATTTTTGTTTTGTTTTGTTTTTTATTGGTTTTTTTTGGGGGGGTGTTTTTTTCTTGTTTGTTTAGTTGGTTGGTTCTTTTGTTTTGTTTTTTATTTTCTTGTTTTTGTTTTGTTTTCTGAGACAGGGTTTCTCTTTGTAGTCCTGGCTGTCCTGGAACTCAATCTATAGACCAGGCTGGCCTTGAACTCACAGAAATCCACCTGCCTCTGCCTCCTGGGTGCTGAGATTAAAGGCGTGAGCTGCCACCACTCACTTGTAGAGACATTTTAATCTAACACTTTCAGGTGTAGAAGCCCAAGATCATGATCCAGGCAAGGGTAAGAGGCAGTGACACACACCTACCTGTAACCAGCACTCAGGAGCCTCAGGTATATAGTGAGACCCTGACTCAAAAAGGGAAGGGAAGGTAGCAAGGGTGCTGCACACCATTAATCCCAGCCAGTCTCGCCAAAGCAGGGGGCTCCAGGTTCAGTGAGAGACCCCGTCTCAAAAAATAAGGAGCCAGGCATAATGGCTCACGCCTGTAATTCCAGCACTTGGGAGGCCGGCAGGAAGATCTCTGAGAGTTCAAGGCCAGCCTGATCTACAGAGTGAGTTGTAGGGAGGGACTACATAGAGAGTCTCTAATGATGATAACAATGAGGAGGCAGACAGTGACGTGGGAAGACATCAGCAGCCAACCTCTGACTCACACACACAAGAAATAAAATAAAATGGCTAGGAGTGGGGGGGGGCACACTGGTCCTCACAAGGTGGTCTCAGGTGGGGCATGCAGGCAGCCCCATTGCCCTGGACTCTGAGGTGCCAGGGCTGGCTGCAGCAGCCTCAGCACCACCCATCTTTCAGATCCCAATTAATCCTTAATCCTCAATTAAGTGATCCCTACTGCCAAGCCTGTAGCCCCAGTCCTGTGGCTTTTCCAGAAGCTGACACAGATGTGGTCACCCATGAGACGATGTCTCTGCAGGAGCTGGGGGTGGTAACCACAACTGAGGGGAAAGCAGGCAGGCTTTGCTGCCCACTGTCCTCCAAGCCCCACCCCTGTGGGTGGGTGGTGGAGGCCACCAGAGACGTCTTAGTCACAGTGTGTCTGCTGACACTGAAAGTGATCATGGATCCCCCTCCCTGCCGCCACACAAAGGCCTCAGGTACACATGTACTAAAGATCCCAGCTGGATCCCAGGAGGGGGACTAAAGGCAGGCTATAATGTGGGGGACCTGTGTGTGAGCCTGGGTTTCCCAGTTGCTAACTTATGCTTCTCTGGGAACATGCTCACTGGCTGGTTCCCAGGGCTCAGGGTCCTGTGGCCTTTGGCCTTTCAGGTTAGAATCATATATACATACTCACACAGACACACAAACATACACTTGCTTCACCTGCCCATACCCACACACAGACATCCCTATTACACATACCTGCCCTCGCCTGCATATAACCACACACAGACACACAGATATATACATACCTGCTCTAGCCTACACATACTCCCCACACACACACACCTGCCCCCACCTGTACATACCCACAGGCAGACACACAGACATACACATAATTAAAATCTGACACATTAAAAAAAATTTAGCCGGTGGTGATGGTGTGCATGCCTTTAAGCCCAGCACTTGGGAGGTAGAGGCAGGTAGATCTCTGAGTTAAGATCAGCCTGGTCTACAAAGTAGCTCTAGGACAGTCAGAGCTACTCAAGATAAACCCTGACTTGAATAAACAAACAAATAACAGTGTTATCTGGGCAGTAGTGGCACACACCTTTAACCCCAGCATTTAGGAAACAGAGGTAGATGTAGCTCAGTGAGTTTGAGGCCAGCCTGGTCTATAAAGTGAGTTCCAGAACACCCAGGACTGTATACAGAGAAACCCTATCTCAAAAACAACAAGAACAAAAAAGGAAATACAGGGGACTGGAGAGATGGTTCAGAGGTTAAGAACATTGGCTGCTCTTCCAGAGGTCCTGAGTTCAATTCCCAGCAACCACATGGTGGCTCACAACCATCTGTCGTGAGGTCTGGTGCCCTCTTCTGGTGTGTAGGCAAATATGCAGACAGACCACTGTACATGCAATAGAGATAAGTAAATAAATTTTTTTTAAAAAGGAAATACAATGGTAACTACTAATATAAAGTTATAAATGATTGAGAGATGAACTTTTCAGCCTCTGATCTGAAGGCTATTAGAAGGTATTAGAAGGTTCCAAAAATGCTCAGGTAAACAGTCATGACTCATACCTATAATCTAAGTTTTTAAGAGGCTTAGAGGCAGGAGGACTGCTGGGAGTTCAAGTCTAGCTTGAGCTATATAGCAAAACTTTGTCTCAAGAAACAGACAGCTGTATGGTGATGGTATACACCCTAGAGGCAGGCAGATCTTCATGAGTCCTAGATCAGTCTTGTCTACACAGTGAGTTCCAGGACAGCCAGAGTTACACAGAGAAACCCTGACTCAGAAAAACAAAACAAAATAAAATAAAAACAACCACACAAACACAAACCCTGAGGACTGGGTGTGGTAATACATTATTTATGATTTATTAAAGCTTGCCTGAGGATTCAGAAAGCAGTCAGCCACAAGCCATAGAAGCCAGGCACACACCTTTAATCCCAGGACTCAGGATTAAGAGGTAGATGGATCTCTTGTTAGTTCAAGGTCATACTGACTACACGAAATTGATCCAGTGCTAAGAGAAACAGCTCACACAAAGATGATCTCAGAACTTGGGATCACACACCTTTAATCCCAGCATCAGGAAGGTATTTAAGACAGGAGCAGGGTCTCAGAGCTGGCATTCATTCTCCAGCCACATTGAGGACAGGAAGACACTGACGTCTCAGGATTCTCCAGCCACTCTGAGGAGAGGCAGCAGTCTGAGGTTTGGTGGAGCCAGGGTCACCTTTCAGTCTGAGGTAGAGTGAGAGTTTTTATAATCTTCAGCTTGAAGATTGAACCCCAATATCTGACTCTGGGGCTTAATGGTGTTACACTAGGAAGATGCTTCAGCAGGCAAGAGTGCTTATTCTGCAAGCATAAGGACCTGAGTTAGAATCGTTAGTTGAATACCCTTGTAAAAACCCAGGCAGGTTTGAGTGTTCCTGTAACCCCAAAATTTAGGGAGCAGGGCAGGGACAGATGAATCCTGAGAGGTTCCTGGCCAGCAAGGCTAGGTGAAATGTGAGTTTCTGGTTAAATGGCACACATGTTATGGTAGGTTCCATCCAAGCTCCCCCCCCCATCTTCTTCCAAACCCTGCTGTATCTCAGGAAGTCCACCAGATAATGACCCCTCCCCCAGAGATGCTCCAGATCACTCGCATATGGTATTAAATTGCCTCCCAAAAAAATAGACTCATGGTTTTCCATCCCTCTTTCCTTTCTCCTCTCTGGGGCTGGAAGGCCACCAGGAGCATTGTATCCATTAAACGTGAGCTTTTCTAATTTGCTTTGATTTGGTCTGATTTGGATTGCTGGATCATTGGAGAGGCTTATCCAGGTGTAGAAACTTTTCAACTCCCTGTCTCAATAAGGCAAACTAAGATAGACAAGACACCAGGCATTCTTCTCTGGCCTCAAGTATGTACATGGACTTGAGCACTTTTGTGCATGCACGCGCGCGCGCGCACACACACACACACACACACACACACACACTTCCAGTCCTGGGGAAGGGTTCCTTTGACAAACTGGCCAAGGGGCCTTTGCCATCTTCCCCCAAGTGAGCAGAGTCTGCTCTTTGGGTAGGTCACAACTGTCTGCTCGAACATCTCTCAGACACTTTGTCAGCGAGGACTCACTTACTAAGAGGAGGAACATCTAAAATTGCTGTCCTATAGAGTTAGGCTTCCCTCAAACATAGGTGATAAGGACTAAATGCTTGTGTGGTCCCTTAAACACATGCTGGGCCCTTAGTTCCCGTTGTGGCTGAATCTGAGGAAGTAGTGAAAATTAAATGAGGTCAAAGGACAGGGCACTTATCTAGAAACACTGTGTGGGGCCAGGAAGAAAGCCCACACCAGGAACCCATGAGGTTGGTACTCTGACCTCAGACTTTTAGCCCCTAAGCTGTGCAAAAATAATCTGTGATTTAAACTACTCAGCCCATGGTATTTTGTTTTGTTTGGATATTACTCAGTCCCAACTGATGAACATATGGAGCAATGGAGAAAGCAGGCTTAAGGTTTGAAAGGAGAGGGGACTGTGCTGTTCATAAACGAGTATTTCACAGTAGCTTTTCTTCACAAACCCCACCCATCTACTGGAGGTTTTCCCCAGTGCAGGCTTGCTAGCATACTTAGGGGGAGATTTTGGGAAACCTGACCGGAACTTTTATGTTTTGTTTTTTGGAACAGGATCTGTGAAGCCCAGGCTGGCACTGAAGTCATGAACCTCTGGCCTCAGTTGAGGTTACAGGCACTCACTCACCCTGCCCTTCTTTTAATTATGTATTAGAGAATTCTGAAAATGCATTGATTAAATACCATTGTCTTTAATTTGAGGTTTGGGGGGAGTTTTCTGTTTTGTTGGTTTTTTTTTTTTTTTTTTTTTTTTTTTGGTTTGGTTGTTTTTCTAGACAGGGTTTCTCTGTGTAGCCCTGGCTGTCCTGGAATTCAGTTTGTAGGCCAGGTTGGCCTCGAACTCAGAGCTCTGCCTGCCTCTTCCTCCTGAGTGTTAGGATTAAAGGCACTCACCACCATGCCTAGCTGGTTTCTTTTTTAAGTCTTAAAAGGAGATTTATTTAGCTGGGAGTTTGGGTACATGCCTTTAATCCAAGTGCTCTGGAGGCAGAGAGGATCTCTGTGAGGCCAATCTGGTCTACATAACAAGTTCCAGGTTAGCCGGAGCTAAAAGAGAAAAAGAAAAGTAAGATTTTATTTTTATGTCTAGCCGGTATGTGTGTTTGGTGCTCACTAAGAATAGAAGAGGCTTTGGGGCCACTGGAAATGCAATTCCACACGGTTAATAACTGTGAATGCAGAGATTCTAACCTGGGTCCTCTAGAAGAGCAGCCAGTGCTCTTAACCGCTGAGTTGGCTCTCAGTATCTTATCTGAGGTTTGTAAAGCAACAAGTTGGGGGCTGAAGAGATGGCTCAGTGGTTCTGCAGACATACACACAAGCACAGCACTCATATACATAAAACATTTTTTAATTTAAAGTTCCATTTAAAGGAACTAGGACTAGATGGCCAGACCCAGCTAGGAGTTTCATTAGTGGATGGAATTAGGAGAATGGGTAGAGCAATCGGCTCAGCTGGGGCCTACTCTGCCTACTTTCTAGTTTACTTTCCAGGGATTGCTGTCTCCATGTTTCAGATGAGGAGACTGAAATATATTAAGGCAAGAAACTGTGTGCCATATGCTTGTAATGCCTAGCATTTGGGAAGTGGAGGACCAGGAGTCACCCTCACCTATACAGTGAGTTCGAGGTCAGGCTGGGCAGCTTGAGATCTTGTCTCAATCCCACCTAACCCTCCAAAAGGAGAGCCCAGGGAAGTAATCGCTAACCATCGGCCTCGACTCAGGTTCTGCTCTTGGCCCAACGCAGTTCTCGATGCCGGGACTCACTGTCATTGTCTGTGGAGGAAAGGGGGGACTTAAGGTGCAGGTCTTGAGCGGTGTCGTTAGCTGCCTCAAACAACCCAGAGAAAGAGGGTAATGATGACTTTGGGAAGGGACCCGTTGCCATGGGAACAAATAAAGGCCTGAGGCGCGCGCATGCGCACAGCAAGAAAAGGGGGGGTGCTAAACCGGTGAAAGGTGACGTAGAGCGCCCGGGGTGGGGCGGAGGGCTCACACAGTGGAGCTGTAGCCTTTGATGTCCACAGCAGAGAAAAGGAGCGAGACGGCTGGGGACGGAGTGTGTCCGGCGCCCAGCCACACATCAACGGAGCGAACCGCGAAGACCACACTGGCCCCGCGGCCGAAGCTCCGCCTCTCGGACCTCGGGACTAATCGGATTGAAAGCGCGCCGGGCCCGGGCCCCGAACTCGCCAATTGAGGAGGGCGTCAGTCACCGCCCAATCCGGGGCAGACAGGTGCGAGGTCCGGAAGGTGGAAGCCAATCGGCAGCGGTTGCGGCCTGCGGGGGCTGGACTCAGCCAATGAGGAGGCTCGAGTGACGGCTGAGAGGACCAATCGAGAGTGAGGAGCGGTCGTGCCCGCCCGCCCTTCCGGCCGGAGCTCTATTTACCAGGGGCGTGCTGCTTGCTTGCCAATCAGAGTGCGGCTGAGCGGCCGGACAGCCAACCCCGGAGGAGCGGCCGGCTGGCGGCCGCCGCACCCAGAGTTGGGATGTCCTACAAACCCATCGCGCCCGCCCCCAGCAGTACCCCCGGCTCCAGCACCCCCGGGCCAGGCACCCCGGTCCCTACAGGTGAGGCTCCAACTCCACCCTTTCTCCCCTTGTCCGGTCAGGCGAGGTCTTGAAGAGAAATGGCTCGAGTTTTGCAATGCCGGGCCTGCTAGGCGAGCCTTGCTCGGCCTCAGTTTGCTGGCCTGAGAAGTGGGCGTGGTCACGTAGAGATTGTAGGTGGAGCGCAGGGGGAGGAGTGTGTCTCTGAAGTTGTTCCGCGTGGAGTGAAGAAGCATGCCTTTGGAGATAGTCAGGGGAACGGTCCGGGGCTTGGAAAGCGGTGAGGAGACCCTTGCTACACTCTGACCACTTTTGTAGCCGGAAGTGTCCCATCGCCATCGGGCTCAGTGCCAGGAGCTGCAGCACCTTTCAGACCACTGTTTAACGACTTTGGACCGCCCTCCATGGGGTATGTACAGGTGAGTGTGCCCAAGAGCTTGCTTATGGATGAGGACAGGAGAGCCCCTCGGGGTCTGAGGTCACTTCTCTATCTTCTTTTGACACAGGCGATGAAGCCACCTGGTTCCCAGGGCTCTCAGAGCACCTACACGGACTTGCTGTCTGTCATAGAAGAGATGGGAAAAGAGATTCGGCCCACCTATGCTGGTAGCAAGAGTGCTATGGAGCGCCTGAAGAGAGGTGAGGGAAGCCCAACCATGCTCTGCCCCGGACACAAACACGGAAAGCTAAGACATTTCATTAAGGAGGGAGGCTATCTGGGCCTGCTTAGATTGGACCAGAGCCTCTACCCAGACAGGTGTTCAAAATGAACTTGAGTCAGTTTCCAAAAATGTGCCTGGGAACTCAGGGTGTTTGTGAGGGTTGGCTAAACTCTTAATCTCATCCAACCGCATTAGATTAGAGCTGCTCTTGCTGAACCACGAAGTGGGTGGGGGAGTGTCTGCTTGAAAGGGTGGGAGTGGTGGCTGCGGAAGGTTGCTAAGACCCTTTTTGTTACTTTCCCGATCCCACCCCACCTCAGGCATCATCCATGCCCGGGCACTGGTCAGAGAGTGCTTGGCAGAAACAGAACGCAATGCCCGCACGTAACAGGAAGCACCTTGGCCTTTCATCGGGACCTTTCCGGCTACTGCAGAGCACCTGCCTGGCCTTCACCCCAAGTTGCTTCCTATTCTGGGCTTCCTGTCCTGTGTCCCTGGTGGGCATCCTCCAGGGACCAGGTAGCAGATCTTCCTCCAGTTGGGCTCTTCCATCTGCAGGAGTGAGTAGAGAGACCACCGTGAGTCCCACCATGACCTGCTCACAATGCCGATCTGACTGGAGCTTGCTCCTCTCTGTGGCCCCGCCACATCGCACTTACTTCTTAAATCTTAGTCCAGGCCTCCTCCTCCCCCTCCAACAGGAGTGTAGAAGGTCTCCCTGCCTCATCTCTGGGGCCACAGCCGACTCTTTTTGGTGTGTCTTTTACTAAATACGCCCTTTTTATATAAATAAAAGATGATTTGGAGTCATTCTCTCAGCTGTGAGCCTTTCTGTGTCTGTTCCTCTGGGGAAGCCTGAGTGGGCCAGGCAGGAAGGAAAGGGCAGAGCAGGAATCAGGGAGGGTCTTGAACCTAGCTTTGCCTTCTCACCCACTCTGCCTTCCATCCAGCAGGCGGGTAGCTGAAAGGCCAGAACACCCGTGGTGAGGAACCCTGCATAGTGTAGTGTGCTGCCACTAGGGGGCAGCACAGGGCCTTGGCTGCCTTCACAACTGGAGGCACTGTTGGACAGCCACAGCCTGGAGGGCCCTTCCTCTGGTTTGGCAGGCATGCCTGGCAGGGTGGAAATACCAGTTCACTTAAGTCTCTCCCTTGAATGCCCTAATGCCCCTACACTACCCTCTGCTCTAAATTGTCCTTGGAAGACTAAATACACCAGGTCTCTTCTGGGGGAGGTAGGTAGATGTTCCCTTCCTCCAGTACCTTGGCTTGATGCTGCTATCCACTGACCTTACAACTTCCACTAGGCTGGGCGTGGCTGCATGAGCCATCCTCAGTGTCTTGGCCTTTGTGCAGAGTCAGGGGTAGCTCAGATGGGTGGCCAAATTTGAGAGCCCAGCAGCCATGAGTAGGGAAGGACTTGGGCTCCATTAATGGGTGGCCCAGAGAACTGTAATAACAGAGGCCTCTACCTGGGTATTGTAGCTGAGTGACCTGAAATCCCAACCCTAGGCAGAGGCAAGTGAGAGCTACCAGCTTCTGGCTAACTTTGGGGTACAGCGTTTCCTTTACCCTGGGACCCAGCCATGTCAAATTCCACCGCTTCAACACACAGGAGGGCAGCCCTGGCTGGGCCAGAGTGGGAAATGAAACCGAGAATCCTTGGGGTATCCACGCAGCACAGAAGTAAAGAATTGTACCGGCCTCCTCCCCACCAGCCTTGAAGAAGGAAGGCAGGGGCCTGCTTGCCTGCGCCGCGGGCGGGGCTGCCCCGACCCTGCCGGGGTGGGGAGGGCTAGCCGGGCCCAGGAAGGGGGCGGGGCGGCCGCAGTGACGCGGCGGGGAGGGACAGCAGGGGCGCCGGCGGGCAGATCGGGAAAAAGGTCGGGGCTATGGGCCCGCTCTGCACCTCCGGAGGATCGGGCTCCATCTGGAACCCGAGACCAGGGCTGGGGGCGCAACGGACTCCTACCTTGGGGCCGGCCGCCCCTGCCCGGGCCGGGTGAGGGGCGCCCGCCAGAAGCTAGAGGTGAGCGGGGACGTCGGTGAGCAAGCGGGTCAAGAGCGTGCCTGGCGACTGGGACTCCGAGCAGAGGGAAGTAGGGACCGAGGGCCTCTCGCCCGCCCTCCGGGTGAGAGGTGGGGGTAGGAGAGGTGTCTGCAGCGGAACTGTGGCGCCGGGCCGGGACGCAGGTGGGCAGAGCGGGCCTCCCTGGGCGGAGGCCGGAGGGATATCAGTGGACCGTTCTGCAATAGCCCGGAATGGGCAACCTCGTGGGAGGATGATGGGATGGGTAGCTGCAAGGACGAGTGGAGAATGAGTGCGGACCGAGGGTATAGTTCAGGACCTGGGAACCCACTAGGGTGGTGAAGGAAGGTTTGGGGGGCGCAGAGGGGTTTATCTGGCACCGAAAGGTAAGTTAGCATTGGCAGAGTTGCAGAGACACATGGGGGCCATTCCCTGTTGGGGCATAAGGGTTTAGGTGGACGTCTGGGAGTGGGGTACACGGAACCCCACTGACTTCGGGGAATGAAGTGGTGAAGGGGGCGGGTCCCTAAGGTTCTGGTCTTGGAAGGCGGGCGCACCTCGGAGGGATGCTGTCTGGGGAGGGCGCTGGACGCGGCCGCGGTGAAGACACGAGGCTGGCCGTGCGGCGTGTCAGCTTGCGACCGCCGCTCTGGGGGGCCCGCGTCAGTGCGCGGTTGCCATGACGACAGGCGGGCGGGGGGCGGGGGCTGCGTGAAAAAGAGGTCATCTCTGAGCCTCGTTGCTGCTCCCGGCTCTGGCGGTGCGGGAGGCAACACTGGGTTCACCTCTGCCTTCCCCGCGGTGGACCCGGGCATGGGGTTCCGCGACCCGAGCCCCTCGGCGGGCGTGCAGGGCTCGGGACCGCGCACCGCCGCCCTGCACTGACAGCCGCGCGGTACCCTGTGCTAGGAGTAGAGGAGGCCGCACGCGGTCAGCGGAGCATCTTCAGGATGCTCATCAAGGAGTACCACATCCTGCTGCCCATGAGCTTGGACGAGTACCAGGTGGCCCAGCTCTACATGATCCAGGTGAGAACGGTGGGGAGGGTTGTAATGGAGCTATGCTTCATGGTGGAATGAAGCAAGAATTCGCAGGCCGAAGGGGGGATAGTCCCATTGGATCCCCCCTCCCAGTTCCATTAGTGGGTACTGTAGCCCAGAAAAGGAAAAGAGACATCCTTAGGATATTAAAGCAGAAGGGAGGGACAGAGGGGCGGGGGGGGGGGGTTTGCAGGAAAGGCCGAGTGCTTTCCTTCCATTAAATGCCCAGCCTGCACAGCCCACATATGGTCTCCTTTAATCCTAAAAATCTGTAATCCCGTGGGGGAGGGGAAAGCAGTCTATGAAGAGACTAGGAAGCTAGGGACACTAGGTGGGGAAGGTAGTTTAAGTAGGAAGGGGTTCTGGGGAAAAGTGTAGAATCCTAGCATTCCCAGGAGATCAGAAAGGTGCATGTAAACCAGGCCCCAAAACTGGCAGGGACAGGACAGGCAGGAACTGAATGGTGAGGAAGGGCATCTGGCCTTGAGCTGTGAGGAAGATGCTGGATCAAGGCAAGCAAGCTATCATCAGGTTTTCAGGGGGTCTGGTCCAGGTCTGTTTCCCAGGCCTACAGAGTATAACTATAGGAGTAGAGGAGGCCACATCCCACCCCTGTGGGGTTGAGTGAACCACATGTAGGCTTCAGAGCTATACAAGGACAGCTAGAGGCTCTCACACTATCAAGGATGTCACAGGATCGGGGAATAAGGTCCCAAAGGGAAGGGGGCAGGTCAAGTATGTTGTGAGGTGGTCTTGTTGCTACTCCCGAACGTGTTCATCATGTTCTATTACCAAGCTTGCACAGACCTCTCTGATTTGAGTTCCTCACCCTCCAGCCTCCGATGTATACACACATCACATGTTCAAGTCATGGTCTCAGTCCTCTCCATCAGATCCTCTGTGACCATCTTATCCCAGTTCTTGTCTTGTCTTGCCTTCTTTCCTCAGGGCACTTCCTCCCTTCCTGTTTTCTATTTTCCTCTGCTGCAGTCTAAATTGTAGCAGTTTTGTTTGTCAACAAATCCCAGTTCTACATCCCAAACAATAACCAACCAGATCAAGTGCTAGGTTGAAGAACCCTATGGGAACTGGGCAGAACCTATAATCCCAACCCCAGGAAGTTGCAGGGACCTGAAAAGGCTATGCAGACTGCAGAGATGGCTATGCAGTTAAGAGTTCTTGCTGCTCTCACAAAGGACTTGGATTTTGTTCCCAGCACTGATGTAGCAGCTCACAGACAACTGCAACTCCAATTTCTGGGGATCCAATGCCCTCTTTGGACATCAACATGCGTGTACTACACATACACATAGGCAGGCAAACACTCATACACTTGAAATAAAATAAACCTTTTTTTAAAAGGCTATGCAAAGAATCAGAGCCAAGGTGAGGACCCCAGGATTAAAGCTGATTAGAGCTTCCCATTCTCTGTTTTGGGCTGCAGAAAAAGAGCCGGGAGGAGTCTAGTGGTGAGGGGAGCGGTGTGGAGATCCTGGCTAACCGGCCCTACACAGACGGGCCTGGAGGCAGCGGACAGTACACACACAAGGTGTATCACGTGGGCTCCCACATCCCAGGCTGGTTCCGGGCACTGCTGCCCAAGGCTGCTCTGCAGGTAGAAGAGGAATCCTGGAATGCTTACCCCTACACCCGAACACGGTGAGTGTGTGAACTAGCCACAGACTCGGGACTGTTAAAGAAACAGTGCTTGTGAACACACCAGTGACTTTCATACTCCCCTCTGCCAGGTACACCTGCCCCTTTGTGGAGAAATTCTCCATTGAGATAGAGACCTACTACCTGCCTGATGGGGGGCAGCAGCCTAATGTCTTCAACCTGAGTGGGGCTGAGAGGAGACAGAGAATCCTGGGTGAGGCCTTCTTGGGCCCCCTGCTGTTATTGCCTTAGTGGGCAGTCTTGGGCAAGCCCCATGTCTCTTATCTTGCTGTCTCTGAAAGGGTTTCCTCCTAACTCTTGGGGTGGGGGTGGGCAGTAGAGATTAGAAAAGGGGCTTGGTTTTCTTAGTGCTGGCTCAAACCTCTTCAGACACCATTGATATCGTGCGGGATGCTGTGGCCCCAGGAGAGTACAAAGCAGAAGAGGACCCCCGACTGTACCGCTCAGTCAAGACCGGCCGAGGGCCACTGGCTGATGATTGGGCACGGACAGCGGCCCAGACAGGACCACTCATGTGTGCCTATAAGCTGTGTAAGGTTGAGTTCCGCTACTGGGGCATGCAGGCCAAGATTGAGCAGTTCATCCATGATGTTGGTGAGCATCCAAATAAGGAATACCCAGCATGCACTAGACCCATGTTTGGAACCAGGAATTCTCCCATTCACTAGAGACATAGCAACATGAAGCCATCGTTTCCACCTCTGGTAGAACATAGGTGGGGGAGGGGGGATAGTGTAGCATCAAGGGAGCTGCTTTGAGGTACCTGAAAGAATTAGGGGTTAAGAAGCTGGCAGCATGGTCTCTGAGACCCATGCTGTCTCTGATACTCAAAAACATTGTGGCCTTTGTGAAGTTCCAGTGAGTCTGGGGGATACTGAGAGGCTCCATCAGGAGGCTCACCAGCCCTCCCAGGATTTCCTGGGGGTTGCAGGCTAAGAAGCACTGATTCCTGGACCATTTTCCTCAGGATACCCTCATTTCTCCAGCATCCAGTGTCATAGCTAAGGCCCTGATGTTGAAGACCCAATTCTAAGCCTTTTCTGACCCCACCCTACCCCACCCCCAGAGCTGC